AGCCAGGCTCCCCTTCCCACCCCAGCCCTTCTGCAGCCCCTGCTCCAGGCACCCCAGGGGGAGCTCCCTCCTCCCATTCCTGCCCACTGCAGGAGCTGCATCCCACATGTGTGGCTGGAGGAGCAGGAGGGGACCCTCCAGTGCAGGAGCCACCCTGCACCCCAAGAGGAGCTCACTCTGAAGTTATTTTATCCTTGAAAACCATTTCTGGCTCACTCGCTTCTTAAGAGCTCCAAGCTCCTCAGCTTAAGCAAATGGCCCCAAAAAAAACATAATTAAAGAAGCTGTGCCCCAGTGGACTAATGAAGGAGGCTGGTTCTTGAAACGGCTGAGGCGAGTACGAGCCACACTTCAGAGCCACTTTGCATTAATATTTTACAGCTCATTTCTTTTCTTTTACACAGGCGATGGCTTTTCTCCACCTCCAAGGGACTGAGCTCATTTCACTGAAGGCAAGAATGCAACCAGGATTTTTGTGAGGTAGTTTTTTTTTCTCCTCTCTCTCCCCTATAAAACAAACATCTGCTCCAAATTTTCAGCTCACTCTCTGAGCAAACTCTATGAATTTTCTGACGTCTTTCAAGGCAAACAGTTCAATTTGAAGCTGGCCTATAACCCCCCAGCATGAAAAGGTAAGAATGCAAGACCCTATTTTATTAAAAATAAAGAATCAGTTAACACAGGAAGTTTAAAAGAAAATAAATGCATAAAAGACAACTGACTTGAGGGATTAGCTCTACTTTGCTCTGGGTGCTTAACAAAAAGAATAGAAAATTATTAGCACTCTTCCTATTGTAGCAGCCAGGCCCTCTGCTGAGTTGATTAGCAAGAAAGCAATGAGTTGGTAATTAAACCTGGCTGGAACCCTAAGAATAAAAACAAGTATTAATTGAAAAAAAAGCCTTTTTTTTTTTTTTTGGCACAAACCAGGACTGCATTTTGCACAGTTTTGAAGAAGCAGAGGAGAAGGAGGCAACTGCTTTGGAAAGGGAAAGGCTTCCTGCCCAGGGGAGCTTACCCCCCTCTCCAGCCCTGTGCTCATGGAGATTTCCCTCACTCTGGAGTGAGCTGAAGAACTCCACGAGGAGCAGGGTCCTGTCCAAGAGAAGAGGCTCTCATGTGGCAGCCCAGCTGGCTGGAGGCCCTGCTCTGCCTGACCCAGCCAGGGCTGCTCACGGAGGGCAGGGGGGGACACACACAGTGTCTTTATGCAGCGCTCACAAAGCGCTACACAAGGGGCACACAGCAGGGGACGAGGAGAGGGCTGTCACACCAGCAAGGGCTCTCTGCTCTCTGTCCTCCAGCACCTCCTGGCTCATGGGCAGGCAAGGCTGGGCAGCTTCACGGTGGCCAATGAGGCCAGTTGGGTACACGTCCATCTGCAGCACACGTGGTGATGCCATCCAACCCTTCACGGAATCGTAAGGGTAGGAAAAGTCCTGTAAAACCATCCAGTCCAACCACTAACCCAGCACTGCCAGGTCCACCACTGAGCCATGTCCTCAGGTGCCACATCTACACAGGCTCCTCCCCAGCCAGCAGCCCCCTGGTCCAACCTCACTGCTCTCAGGAGACGCTGAGGCACAGAGAGACCCTCGTCCTTAAGTGCAAGAAGTTCCTTGCAAAGGCCAGTCAGACCCTGCTGGCTTCAGTAACTTGGAATGAAGGTGGCACATCACCTCTGGGCATGCAGCATGGCAGAGAGCGGGAACTCAGACCCACAGCACCAGGCTGTTGAGGCACCAAAGGCACAGAGCACAGGGGTTCCCTGGACCTCTCTCCAGCAGTGGGGTGACCTTCCGCCTGCTCAGGCTCTGCTCCCCTCTAAGCTCCACATCAGTGTGCACAGAAAGCCAAGCACCAACCAAACATTGTTTTTAAGGCAAAGAACTGGTTGCCTGTTGCAGAGTTCAGCAGAGGTCAGAAGTACCAACAGACCAGCCCCTGCAGATCCTGGGGCAGCAGCTGCTCCACAACACCTCTGACAGCGATGGCAAAGCTCCAAAACGAGCACCACCAACTGAGGAACGATGGCAGTGGCTGTGCCCAGAGCCCTCTCCTCCTGGCACACTGCAGCTGAGCCAGCTGACCTCTGTCCCTTCATGCACTGCCCACCATGCAGCAGGAACTTCCCAAGCTGCAGCCACGGGGGCTGTGCTCTTCCCAACACTGCCAGCCATGGAGCCAGGTCCCCCATCCTCACCCACCCCTCCCCGGGACAAACACACATCTCCTTTCTGCACAACCCACCAGGAGCAGAGAAAGGAGCACAGATTCTCTATAGTTGGTGTCCGTGGAGACAGACCTCTCCAAGACATGGCCATCCACACAGACATGCCCCGAGCCCAAAACCTCCATACATGATATATTGTGGATGTTCACCTGTTCTGAAATGGATAAAAACCCAGAATCATTCCTACTTAGACAATTAACATGTATCCAGGGTGGTCTAAAACTCCCTGGTGGTCTCCAGCTCTCAAGAAACACAAGAACATCCATTACTGAGACCCATGAACACAGCAATCTCTGACCTGTAAGTCCCTAGACACCATTTGGTGGAGATGCTGTTCCATGGGAAGGAACATCTCACCTCCTGACAGCTGGCCACCCCCTCATAGTGCAAGCTGGGGCCCAACCAGAACCACCACCAAAAGCAAAACCCAGATTTCCTACCAGCCCCAGCCTACTGCTCCCTGTGCTGGCATGGCTTGCCTTCATGGGGAGAACTGGATCAGCTACTGCCCATGGCTGACACCACCCTGCACTCAAAGCGATGAGCTCAACTCCAGATTACCTCCCCCTCTGGTTGCCACCATGGCCATGCTGACCTCAAGGGATGAGCCAGGAGGGGAATACCTTGGTGTACTTGCCACATGAAGTGGAGCTGTCACACACCTGGCTTTTCCCAGGCATCCTCTTTCTGCCCAGAAAGCACATCCAGATAAAAATAGGGAAGCTGGCCAAGAACTTAGTACTGCTGGCCATCGATGCCATGGCTTTGCCTTGCCTGCCTAGAAACCCAGGCTCTATTTGTGTACACAGGTTGGTATTTCCAGCTGGAGCCCCACAGTTCTGTCCAGGAAGTGTTAAAGCAAAGCTCTGCTCCCCAGCCCTGCAAGCTCAGGGTGCTGGGTGACACCAGAGCAGGGGACTGAGGACAGGGTGAGTTGCTCTGGTGAGAGAGGATGCCATGGGGAAACCATCAGGCATCAGAGAGATGGAGCTGAGGATACAGCAGCTCTTCAGCCTGATGTCCTCCGTGTCCAGCCAGGCCCACCTGGCCCCTTGGGAGGGTCACACATGGTGTGGGAACACCACAGCATTGGGAGGCACACACGGGGAACCCAGAGCTCAAAACCACCAGGCAGACACCTTGCCTGCGGCACAGCAGAGAAGCCCCAAGGAATTTTCCTCTGTGAGACATTAAAAGAAACATAATCATCTCGGTCCCTGGGACACTCTTTTTTCTTCCACTGCTCTTGGATGCCTGCACAGCACAAGAATTCCTTGCAGCCATGGCTTTATCATTGTCAGGCCCACAGCTCTGGTACAGAAGCTGAAGTTCTCTAGATTTCCCCCAAAGGTTACAGGGACACACCTAGGTCTGTCCCAGGGAACAATCACCCATGCAGACACCAGCAGGGACCTCTGTCCCCCATGGGCACACGTGGTCTGTGGGCTCTGTCTCAGACCAGAATCTCCCCAGCAAAACCAACGTTTGCTCTGCCTGAGTTTAAGAACAACTTAAGCCCAGGGTCAATAGAATGCTGCTCTCTCCTCCCTCTCACACTGCCTCATCGCTCCCAGAGGCCATTCTGGGAAAGAGATGGGGGAGCTTCACATCCTCATGATGCTAAAGGAGCCCAAGGCTCCCTCCAGATCTGCCTGCAGACACCACAGGGCAGAAGGTAAAGGACTCAGGGAAAACCAAAGCCCCAAACTGGCATTTTGTGGACCTGCCACAGAGATGTGGCCACCATCTCCATGCCCTTTCCTCATCTAAGCCCCTGGTACTAACAGCATTCCACCTCTCCATCCCAGACCAGCAGCACTTGTCAGGAGAGATGACAACCCCTCCCTGGCCTTGCTGGGCCTCAGTCACATCCCTCAGCATGGGGAAGGCCAGTGCCACAGCCAGCACCAGCTCTCCCACCACTTGGCCTTCGTGCACGTCCCCTCTTCCTCATGCCCCACACAGAACAGAGACCCTGTCCTCGTGCTGGCGCACACGGGGGCAGGAAGGACAATTTAAGAAAACCTGGCAAACCAACACCAAGTTTAAGAGCGCAGAGCATGCCAGATCTCACTACCTTCCCACCTTATGCCCACGCGTAAGAAACCTGGTTTTACACTCAGGTTTCTTACGCATCCTTTCCTCTGTCCTCCTTGTCCCCATCCAGCACAGGAAGCCGGAGCTCACCTGACCCTGTGCCATCACCCCCGGGAAGATGTGCACAGGGCAACGGGGAAGAGGACGGAACTACAGCACAATATTTTCGGCTGGTTTTCCTACTGTTTAACCTTTTCCGTTTGGTCTCATCTGTTGCTCCGAGGTGCAACCGCAAAAGGGCTCACACTAACCCTGCCTCCTTCTGAGGCTCCCTACAGCCCTTAGGTGCTGCTCGCCAAGGCACCACCCGGGAAAACACCTCGTTTATCCCAGGGGAAGTTTGGTGCCGAACAGGGATGCGGAAAGTTGGGAGGCGGCGCTGGGCGGGGGCAGCGGCGGTACCGGCCCGCGCATCCCCCGCGCACAGGGCGGCGGGGTCGGCCCCACGCTGGGACCGGACCCCTCTCCGCCCCCGCGGCTGCCCGCGGGGAGATGCCGGGCACGGAGAGCCTGGGGGTTCATTATTTTTCATTTTCTTCCTGCTCTCCTCGCCACCCAGCCCCGGCGCTCCCCGAACGGCGGCTCCGGGAGGGCTCCGGCCCCGCAGCCCCGCCCGCGGGAGCGCAGCCCCTCAGCCGCCCCTTCCCGCCGGGCTCCCCCGAGCACTCACCGGCCCCCTCGACCTTCTCGGAGCCGCGGCTCCAGGTGACCTGCCGCGTCTCCAGCTTCACCTGGAAAGTTTTCCGCTCGGGTCGCTGCGACTTTTTAGAGTAGAAGAGGGTCATGACGGTGCCCACCTCCAGGCTGCGGCAGAGCTGCGCCGCCTCCGCCTCGCTGGGCGCCCCGGGGCCGGCGCCCGGCCCGGCCGCCATCGGCGCGGCGAACAAAGGGGAGCGGGAGCGCCCGAGCCCCGCCGCGCCCCGCGCCGCCGCCGCGGGAGGGGAGCCGAGGAGGAGGAGGAGAGGGAGGAGGAGGAGGAGCGACAGCCGGGCTGCGGGACCACATGCGTGGTGCGGGATGCCGGTGCCACAGACCACCCAGCACGCCTGGGAACAGCGCGACCCTCCGCACGCCTGCGGGACCGGGGGACTCTGCACCCCACGGCGCGCCTGCGGGACCACCCTGCACACCGCCGGTCCCCCGTGGGCCACACAGCTCACAGGATACCTTAGGGCACCAGCACCCACAGCAGGGTTTGCGTGGGATCCTGGCGTGGCACGTGTGGGGTCCCCACATTGCATCCCACGGTGGCTTTCCCTAGGGACAGACCCCTCCGTATGGCTGCCGCTGGCACCATGCTGTGACTTCTGGATGGAGCCAGGTCTCCGTTTGCTGTAGTTTCTTCCACACAGATCCCAGCCGGATCCGTGCTGGCATGGAAAGCAGGACGGGGCTTGCAGGGTGGCCTGTGGCATCCTGCCCTGGGTGACCTGTAGGGAGCCAGGGGTCACTGGACACTCTCCAGCTGCTCTCCAGCCCCACAAAAAAACAGGGTTAGAGACCACACAAAAGCAGGGTTAGAGAGGGGATAAGTGGCTGAATTGGGAAGCATTTCAATGCAGTTTGCTCCATTCATGTGGTTAAAGCCTGTGATTTCCCTTTCTGTGTGCCACTGACCTTCTTCCCCGTGCCCTCTTTTCCATCAGGATACCCCATGGCACACTGGGTGCTCAGGCTGTCCCATTTATATGTATAAATGTATAGATATGGGTTACTGCTTGGACCTGATGATCTTAGAGGACTTTTCAGACTTTAATGATCCTATGATTTTTTTTTCTTTTTTCCAAACTTCATGATTCTGTGAATACACACACGTACACACACATGTCCACAGGCCCATGGCAAGGCAGCCTGTGCTCAGCAGCCCTTATCTCAGCCCCCAGCTCACCGCTGGGACTGGGAGGGGCATCATCTTCTAAGTGAGGGGCCCATCCCTGAGTGGATCCCACATGTGAGCAGCTCTCTCTCTCCTACTGCTCCACCTGGCTCCACAGGGACATTCCCCAGCACACACACGTGCGCACACACAGTAGGAACCCTGTAAGGTCGTTTAGGATCCTACCTGGCATCTGGGCATCAAACAGGCAAGGTGAGAGCCTAAACCTGCCCTGATAGAAATGAGCGGTGTATGACAGCACTGTAAGGATGCTGGGAATGTGCTCAGCTGAGCCAGAGCTACTGGAGCCTGTGCTTGGTGCTGGCACAGCACTCTGGGCCTCGTTCTCTCCGGGGTGAGCTGCTGTGGCCGCCAGGGAAGTGGCTCCTGGCTTGTGTAATGGCCTCGCTTGGGACCGGCAGGAAGCAGCCAGCTCCCAGTGGTCTTAAAATAGCTGAGCATTATGGGCACACCCTTGTTTTTGAGGGCAAAACCTGAGATGGGAGTGTGGCCATCGAAGAAGCAGAAAAGGTAACTCCCTTGTTCCCAAACACTGCCTGTTCCTGCTGATGGAGAGCACCCGGCAAGGTGCGTCCTCAGCTCAGAGCTCGGGGTGGCTGAGGTGGAGGATGTGGTTTACAATGAGCTGTTTGCGATGGATATTTTTTATTTTCTAAGTTTGGCTGATCATCTTGTAGCCTTGCATTAGCTCTCTGTGTCTAAGATGCTGCATGCCAAGGAATTCTGCTGTTTAATTTGACAGCACAGGAAATTTGACAGCCTTTGTGTGCCTGCTGCCTGACAGCCCCGTTTGGTGGTCCCAGCTCCTGTACCAGCCAGGCTGTGAACAATCATCCCCAGCCCTCAGGACAGCAAAAACTTCCATTATGTTCCTGTGTTGCTTTTGAAGAAATTCCCTGGACTGTGTTCATCATGTGGCTGTGGAAGCCTGCGGGTTCTGCAATCTCCCCTTGCAAACACCTCAGGAAAAAGGGGGATTTTCCCCTCGGAGTGGCCCCAGCACCTCCCCCTTCAGAGTTCCGAAGCACGGGATGCCATCCCCCATATCCTGCAGGATTCGTGGAGCAGCTGCATCCTCCCACCAGGAACAGGCCAGTGGCCAGGTGACCTCTTGCTTAAGGACAGCCCCAGGTGTGCTCAAGGCCTGGGGAACAAAATCCAGGGACACAGCACACTGAGCCCACCCCACAGGCAAGAGCGAGGGTCCCTGCAGCCCGGCATCCCTCTGACCAGTGTCTGGGAAGGGATGCATCCCTCTCCTGCCCCGGGGACCACGCACTGAGAGGAGGTGTCCGATACTCAGCCAAAGTGGTGCAGTCCCTGGGAGCGATGCTCCTGCCCCTCTCCGGGTTATTTATTCATTCCTGCCTGCTCCGTGCTGCCGGGGCTGGGTAAAGACGACACCAGCGGAGAAAATCACCACGGGGGAAGAGCTTCCGTGGTGCTGCAGGGAGCAGGATGTGGAAGGCAGGCCCTGGGGGAGGCGGAGCGGGGCTGCCCGGGCTGGCGTTGGCAGACACAGCGCAGTGTTGTGCCGGGATGGGAAGCAGAGCCGCCCGGGGCTGTGGAGCTGCTGCGGATGCTGGCGCGGTGCCGGCCCCGTGCCGCACGCTCTCCGAGGAGCCGGGCAAAGCCGTGCCCGCAGGCTGCCTGCCCCCGCAGCCCCTGCCCCTTCCAGCCATTGCTGAGTTCCCTCTGGGTGACAGCCAGCACCTGGTGAGAAACCCACTGCAGCTCCGGGCTCCCCGTCCCCGCTCCCCAGTGCTGCGCGGGGAGCACACGCTTTTTTAATATCGAATTCACCTGGTTTCAATTTTCAGCCCTGGAATCCTTAAGACTTCAAGGGGGATGGGGCTTTGCATCCTGCAGGGTTTTGCACCTCCCCTTGGCCGCCAGGCCCTGTCCACGGGCTTGTGCTGCAACAAGATCCAGTTCAAAGCTACGTTTGTGCCCACTCCACCGGTCATGTCACTGCTGCCTCAGTTTCCCTGGCTGCCAAACACAGGCCCTGTTGTGGGGGTGGTGGCAGTGGGGCAGGCAGCACGGGCGCTGCAAGCGGAGGGATGCAAGACAGGATGTGACATGTTTGTGGCCGTGTCTCTGTTTGCACAGTGAGTCAGTGGGGTCTGGGAATTCTCCATGGAAAGCGTGGGGCGTGTGGTCCTCACCCTGCTGTGCCACAGGCAAAATCACCGATTAAACCCTTCTCAGCCCCCTGTTCAGGACAGAGCCTGTGCTCCCCAGTGCTGGGAGGGAGCTGGGTGCATTTTCAAGGGTGGATTTTGCACCAAAATCCTTCTTGCTGACAGAGAGGCACAAGCTGCTCCAGCCTTGGACATCAGCCTGGCCTTGCACTTCCAGGCAGACACAGATCTCCCAGCCTGGCCACAGCACCCCACCATGCCCAGGGACAAGGTGGATCTGCCAGCAGCAATGCTGGGGTGGGGAACCCCCTCCGTGGGAGAACATCCCTTCCCACTGCATTCCACAGTTCCCTATTCAGTGGTGCAAGACACTGGAATTTGTAAGATACGGGATAATTGGGCCAGGTCTGCAGGCGGGAAGGAGGGCTGTATAAATAGAAATGATATTTTTACAGGCTGCATTGTTCAGGCACAGGCAGGCCGGGAGCACAATGAGCCCCTTTCCCTCTCCGCTGGCATTTTTGCCACTGCACCTTGGAAAGGCCCCAGAGAGCAAACGGCAGCTCCTGCCAAACTCCAAGTCTGTGCAGCCACAACAAAGTGCCTGGAAGATCGCAGCGAGCAGCAGGAAGCCCTGCTCAGGGCTGGCTTCCCTGCTCAGCTGGCTGAGCCTGACCCCACAGCCACCCTCGGGGGTCTGGGAGCCCACCCCAGCTCTGGGGTCATGGGGAGGGCTTGCAGAGGAGCCCGGGCTGTGCCTGCTCTACCAAGGACACCAGGCCAGGGCTGCTCCCAATGCCAGGGAGGAGAATGCATCCATCAGCCTCATCACCTGTGTCCTGGCCGTCACCTTTGGCATCATCACCCTTGCCCTCGTCATCACCTGTCCTTGCCCAGCCTCCTGCCCTTCCCAGCCATGAAGGGGAAGGAGCTGCTCTCCCTCCGTCCTGCTCTGTGCAGAGGGCTGGGGCTGAAGGAAAGGCAGCAGAGAAACCAGGACGAGCAGCCCCGGGGTCACTGCATCCCCCTGCTCCTGCTCTCTGCTGTCCTGGGCAGGGCTTCTCCCAGGGCAAAGCAAACTGTGAGCTGTGCCTGCATGGAAAGGCACAGTGGGCACCAAGAGGGTGCAGCACAATCACAGCAAGGCAGGGATGGGCACATCCTTCAGGGAATTCCTGCTGGGGCTGGGAACAGGAATTGCACCCCACCATCTCCCCCAGCCCAGCGACCACGGGGGACTCACATCCCGGGCCAGAGGGGAAAGAACACAGAGACACCAACACTCAGTTAAGTTGTAGGAATTTATTTTAAATAACCTACAGTTGATTAAAAGGGAATTCATGATAAAAATAGAAGATACTTGTTGAGGAAAGGCTGCAGGAAATGGTCTTGCACACACACTACGCTAACAATGCCTCTAAGACTAATGATTATAGCAAAAAAAGGTTTCACATTAAAATTCTGCTTTTTAATTTTTAAAATTTTTTTACACAATTACAAAAGAAAAAAATAAAAGCCCTAAAATCTTGATTATTTTCCTTTTTGGACCAATGCTCATCTCCCTCGAAATTTATTGACCTGTGAAACTTCTTTTTACACAATAAAATCTTTCAAGTAAAAGAGGGGAGTGGGGCTTAGAAAAAAAGGGGGGGAAGGTAAAACAGTCTGACAAACCTAAAAAGTAGATAATTCTTGGAAGTGTACAGAGTGTGTTCAGAACAAAAGGTGATGGGAATGTCACTTGTTTCCAATTTCACTTGTCCTCAAATTCCACACACATCTTTCCATCACACGGCCCCCTCCCCCCACCCCCTCCCCAAACCTACACGATCTTTAAGATCATAAAGAAAGAAAACTGTTTAAATATTTTAAAATAATTAAAAAGAA